CCTTCCCCTTCCCTTTCCACCTTTCCTTCCTTCTCTTTACCTTTACTTTCCTTTCCTTTACCTCCTTCCCCCTTCTTAGATTCTCCCTTCCCTTCTGCTTCTTTCCCCCTGCCTTCCTCCTTCCCCCTTTCCCCACCCTTTCTCCTTTCCCTTCCCTTCCCTTCTCTTCTTCTTCTTTGCCCTTTTTGCATCTTCTATTTGAAGTGGCTCGGGGTTTGGCCTCTCTCGGTTTTCACCAACGTTGGCACAATATTTACCTTCTCTTTACCTTAGCCTTCCTTCCCTTGGCCCTTTACCTCATTCCTCCTTCTCAGATCTTCCCTTCCATTTTCCCTTCTCTTTTGCCTTCTGTTCTGCCTTCCCTCCTCCTTCCCCTTCCCTTCCCACCTTTCCTTCCTTCTACCTTCTCTTTACCTTTACCTTCCTTTCCTGTACCTCCTTCCCCGTCCTGCCTTCCCCCTTCCCCACCCTTTCTCCTTTCCCTTCCCTTCTCTTCCTCTTCTTTGCAGTTTTTGCGTCTTCTATTTGAAGTGGCTCGGGGTTTGGTCAACCAACGTTGTGCCCAAAGTTGTGCCCGGAATTGTTTGTTCCACCTGGCCCTCTTCTATTTGAAACCCTCCCGGCGGCAAATTTCCAAGCCCTTCAAATAGAAGATTGGCACAAGCAATTTCTTCTATAATAAAACCATGTACTATAAATGCAATTGGTTTGGTCGACGAGGGACCTGCAGATTCCAAGACCTACCCAGTCACATAAGAACGCATCAGACTGCTTTAGAGGATAAGTGTCGTTGCAAACCACAGAAGTATGTTAAAGGTATTTTGCTGGCGGTATTCTAAAGACAAAGGAATTCAACTGAAACACAGAGTATTCTAAAGACGCCACGCGCAGCCTGCGAGCCCGGAAGCCAAGGCCCTCAGGCGCTTCACTGTGTTGGTAGTGCCCCAAAGGAATTGCATCAACCACCGATGCCTCACAAAATCACTCACAAACATGTCGTACATACTATTGATATTGTTTGATGGTTGGGTACTGCTTTGATTGTGGTCACTCCCATCAACTTAAAATCCTCTTCTGGTCCCTGGGCCGAAGAAATCCAGTACATGTGGAACAATCTTCATCTGAATACACTTGAGCAAAGTCACCTGGAAAATTGTAGCAACTCATGTCTCATCTGTAGGGCCCATCCAGGGACCAAGTTGCAAGGATTCAGTGTAGAGCTCGCGCACGGAGTAGCTCGCCCACGGAGTTGTGAGGAGAAGTGGCATGAATGAAGAATGATTACGCGTATGCCCATCTTGGGTAAAAGCCACGCGCAGCCTACGAGCCCAGAAGCCAAGGCCCTCAGGCGCTTCGCTGTGTTCGCAGTGCCTCAAAGGAATTGCATCAACCACCGATGCCTCACAAAATCACTCACAAACATGTCGTACATACTATTGATATTGTTTGATGGTTGGGTACTGCTTTGATTGTGGTCACTCCCATCAACTTAAAATCCTCTTCTGGTCCCTGGGCCAAAGAAATCCCGTACATGTGGAACAATCTTCATCTGAA